CCCATTTAAATTTCATGTTAATAAAGTCGGTATTTCTGGCAATAGAATTCCAAAAATTTCCGAATACGTGTATTTTGATGCAATGGACCATTTTCAATCAAAAAGTCGATTTTAATTTTTTTGGTTGTTACGCCCTTTTGCATTTTAGGTGACGATATATGTATGTATCTTAAATTAATAAACATATTGACAATGACATCATTTCATTTGTCATCCCTGAGTGTTGAAAAAAAATACTGTGCTATTATGCTGCTTTTTAGGACTTTCGAGCTTGCGAGCTTGATGCTGTGGACCATTTCCAATCAAAAAGTTGATTTTAAATTTTTTGGTTGTTACGCCATTTTGCATTTCAGGTGGCGATATGTGCATTGTATTGTCAAAGAAGCTTACTTACATATGCGATTTGTTTCTTTATATGTTTATACATTTAGATTAACATACATATGAGCAAAATAAAAAAATTAAGAATCGATGTTTTGTATTTGGTTAATATTTTAAAATAAGGAAAACTTATGATACATTTCGGTATAAATAGATTACCAAAACACTTGCGAATTCGAAATTTTCGGCCATTAGCTTATGATCTTTTAAGTTAATGATCATTTAAAAGCAAACAAAAATAGAAAATACTTTGAAACTTACCAAAGTTTTCTTCATTAATTTTAAAACTGTACTCTCAATTTATAACTTACAGATCCATCATTCGCAACGATAAATCACAAGACGATAAATCACAAAATGTTTAAATTTAAATTTTTATATTGCTAAAACTTGAAAATTAAAAGAGATAAATAACATAGTAAACTTCAAATCGGATGGGAAACAAAGAAATGATACTCATTTGAAAAAAAAATTTTCAAAATTTAAACTGAAATACTCCTTAACTACGCCTACGTCAAATTTTTTGTTCCGATCGGAACAGCTGTTTCGAAATTACAGAATAATTTTCACAAAAATGATTATGCCCCACTGTGCATAATGATGAACATTTTATAGTTCTCTGCGAAATTATATTAAAAAATTGATTTTAATCTTGAGATTAACATATTGGGAGTATTACTATATATTACACACCGTCGGAAAATAAAATTTGTATAGTTTCACAGTATATGTTTTAGTTTTTTTTTGGTTGTTAAACGACTTACATACAAATATCAAAATATACAAAATAGTGAAAATGCTAAAAATTTGTCTTGAGTTACAATACATTTATTTTGATACATATCCCACTAGCGACCAAAAAGCTTTTAAAGGAAAATATCTAAGTTTTTTTGTTAAAAATACACAAAATAAAAATGGCCCACTTTAGAAACTATTCAGAACAATTTTTGCTACGAACAATAGGTAATAAATAAGCAGGTAAAATATTCTACACTGAAAATAATCCATGCCTACTATATACGAAAAATATCGTACATTGTACGAATTTTTCGCACTACGAAATTGTTTCATAATATATGTATACGAAATATTTTTTTCTAAAACACTACATTTTTGAACAATGGTGGCAGATTTAAAAAATCTCTTCGCTTTTGTTTTGGCTCTATGTGTAAGTCCATTAATGTTTTTTTCATACTCAGATTGTTTTCTTATAAAATCGCTAATAACATTCTGAATTCGACCAATTCCTGTGATTTTATACAGTTTCCAAAAACGCTTAAATTTTGTAATTTTCCTTTTTAGTTAACGGCTTAAATATATTGTCTATGTATATTCAGTAATACTAGCAGACCTGGGATAAATGCATTAAATGTGTTAATGCATTAACAATTTTTTCTACATTAAAAAAATTAATGTTAAAATTAATGTTTATTGCATTAACATTAACATGGGTACATTTAATGCATTAAATTTGCATTAACATTAAATATTTTTAAATTTAATGCATTAATTTTACATTAACATTAAATATTTGTGAAATTAATGCATTAATTTTGCATTAACATTAAATATTTTTGAATTTAATGCATTAATTTTTCATTAACATTAAATAATAAATAATAAAATTAATGCATTAATTTTCCATTAACATTAATGTATAAAATAATTTATAAAAATAAGAATACAGCGCTAAAGACCTCGGTCTAACTAAATTCAAGTGAAATTGAATGTGTTAAAGTCCTTTCTAATAAGTCCTATACTCGATAATACATATTAGAAGAATAGTATCACTTCCCAGATATTCCTTTTTTAGTTTATTTTGTTAAAGTCCTTTCGAATAAGTCCTATACACGATAATACTTATTAGAAGAATAGTATCAATTCCCAGATATTCCTTTTTTAGTTTATTTTGTCTGTGGAATCTTATATAAATATCATATTTAAAACACACAAGTTTGAATGGAATATAGGAGTTATTAGAAAGGACTTTAACCTATTTAATTTTAGTTGTATTTAGTTAGATCGAGGTCTTTTGTGCTGTATTTTTATTTATGTTTATCAATTTTTATATATATTAATGTTAGTGGAATATTAATGCATTCATTTTATTGCTTATTTAATGTTAATGTAAAATTAATGCACTAAATTCAGATATATTTAATGTTAATGCAAAATTAATGCATTAATTTCAAAAATATTTAATGTTAATGTAAAATTAATGCATTAAATTCAAAAATATTTAATGTTAATGGAAACTTAATGCATTAAATTTTACAAATTTAATGTTAATGCAATATTTTTTACATTAAATTTATTTTTTTTTAATTTAATGTTAATGCAAAATTAATGGAAATCGCCCAGGTCTGAATACTAGTATGTATATGAATGATTTTACCCGCTGCCAGTAGTAAACTGATTATTATAATTACTCTATAAGTTTTTGCAAAAAATTAATTTGAATCTAAAGAAAATAGTGAACCTATTCAATTGAATGGCAGTGTATTTTTTTATTTACGAATATGTACTAATTTTTTTCAAAATAATTTTTTTTTAAATTTTATTACTTTAAAACGCTATAATTTTTGCACGGAACAATGAAAATAAATAACATTTTTGGATTTATCATGTGTAATTATTATCCTAGTCAACCATATAAGGAGGTTCTTGCTAGAAACACAAATTTTGAAAAAATTGTATCCAATTCTTAAATAATTTTGATTTTGCTCATATGTACATTTGATTGCTAATTACTGATTGAATTATTTTTATTATTATAATTACTATAATTATTATATTTTTCTTCTTTTGCATTATTCGGTAACAATCTTAATTTTAGTACACTATCACTACTACAAGTTTCTATTAATTGTTTTAAATTAAAAAATGTCTTATTACATTATTTTAGAAATTGATAATTTAGTTATCAACAGCATTAGAAAACAAGTAAGAGTACCCTTCATCGTAGTGTATTTTAAAAAAATTTTAATGTTAAACGTATTTTATTCCAAAAAATTAAATAAAAATAAAAAAGATGTTATTTATTTCTAATCAATTTTTTTAATTGTATTTTTTACTTTTAATTTTATATAATACAAATCTTCCAACCCCGACTCTAGAGTTATTGCATTGGCAAAATTTCGTTTTTTGATTTTTTAAGGAGTTGTTTCGGAATTTTCCTCGTATCTCCGTTATTAATGTAACGATTAAGCTGATTTAAAATAGCAATCTTCTCGAAACATGTCATTATTCGGTTCCCGAAAATATCTGGGGTCTTCAGAAAATTGTTATTCAATTGTTATTGCTAAAAATCGACTTCACTATATATACGGATTCGTAATATATTTCCAACGAAACGTCTACTTTTGTCACGTTACGCACCATTAACTGCTTATGTCATACAAAAATATGGGGAATTTCATGTCAAGTAACCCAGCTCAAAAAAGTGATTTTGACAAAATTTGCACTAAGGTTAGTACTATAGGATAGTACGTAAGACCCAAATTTTCAGCTCAATCGGTCAAGAACTGCCGGACTTAGAGGGGGTCAAAGTTGGACATTTTGGTCATAAAGGGTTTTATGCATTTGAGTGTAACTTTTCACCTATTGGTCCTAACAAAAATTGTCCAAAGGATAGATAGCTATTCTTCATTCTTTCTATCTTTTTTAATTTTTAAATTTTTTTTATATACTAATTTTTTTTTTTATTTTTTTTCAAAATGGGCCCTTTTTTTTTCTTTTTTGCTTTAAAGAAAGCTTATACAATTTCCCTGAAGGGCTTTATAGTCCCACATTGGGATGCAAAAAAAATGAACTCAATAATAATTTTTTTTCAATATTTGGCAATTAATTTTCCCTTATTTTTCAAAATGGATGTTTTTGTTTTTGCTCAAAAGAAAGCTTAGACCATTGCCTTTAAGAGCTATGTGATTACATCCATTTCATCGGAAGACATCGTTTTTAAAAGTTGGGTCACTTGACACGATATTCCCCATATATTAATTTTTTTGTATATAGAAGAGACCAATCGAACTGAATGGATGAGACGTGATGATACAAAATTAGACTTTTCTGTGGCTCGCAAAAATACTTGGTGGAAATTAGAAGCGGAAGTATAAACTTATATACATATACTATTCTCACGAAGGTGAAGGGTCTAATCAAATAATTGTTAGAGTTTAATGGCAAACTTTTATAGAGGACAATAAGTATTGTTGTATGAAATGTGTATCAAAAATTGGACGCATGCATTGATTGCTTTTATTGAGACTTTGTGTTAGATTGAAATATTTAAGATAGTTTGCATTAACATTGTTTAGAGCGTTTTAATCGCATCATCTAGCTGGACGAATAAAATGTACAATAATTAAATGAAAACAATAATATGCTAACTATGTATAAAAGATTCATGTAATTGTCATTCTGAAGCAACCTGAGATAAAGGCGTATACATAAATAGTTTGAATAAAATGAACAATTTTTGACTTGAGTCGAGCTAAATGTTATTACTCAGTCATTTGCATAAAGGTTAATGTTGATTAGTGGACAATTAATAGCAAAAAATATTTGTTGTTTTATTTATGTTAGAAATAACTTAAAATTAAATGCATACATGTTGTTACGTGTGTATAAAAGCAGTGATTTTTTATTCTTGGTATTGAACTGATTACTTAACGATATGATTTGAATTATTTTACATTTTATTTTTCTTTTATTGGTGTTTCTTCTATTCCTTATTGTGACTTGTTTTATCCGGAAAATGCAGCTAAATTATAATAATTAAATGTAATTTTAATATGTTTTTACATTTTTTGATTTAAAAAATACAAGGCAAAACATTACTAAACTTTAAGCTTTATTTTCAATATAATTTGTGACCTTTTCAAAGTCTACTTTTTATTCATGTATGTTTTTTTTTGTTTATAAGAAAGCCTATCGCTTAATATATTTTTAATTCATATTTATTATTTTAATTTTAAACTACAGTTCTAAATGTTTGTTAAATTGTATTTCTAACAACATTTTTTCTTACTTTCTAGCAAGTAAACAACAATAACTTTGTTTTTTTTTTTCCTAAAAGGGGATGGTTTCTTTTTGCTTAGTTTTTACGCTTACTTTTAACTAAATGATTTTCTTCTCTATAGTTTTTTGTTTGCTCTTTTTCTTAGTTGTAGGAGTTTTTTGTTAATGACAACACTCGAAGTTTTCAAAAATTATTTCCATTAACTTTCGGCTGGCTGGTTTGTGGTGAATTGTGTAATGCCATCCTGTTCCATGGCCTCCAGAATATCAGTAACATATTCGGCTACGTCGGTGTTACTCCGTTCACCACGCAATATAAATGGCATTTGAAGAAGGCGATCATATTTAGGACGTTCACTTTCATTCTTAATTAAGCTAGAATATAAACATATATATATATTAGTAATTTTATTGCTTGATCTACTCCAATCAAATGGATATAATAAATTTTTTTTCTTAATGTTTAAAAGCTACCCAGCAAAAAATAATTGATGTCATACTTTACAAACTATATCATATACATATTTTTCACTTTTATAAACCAAATATTTCCTTACAAATGAAAACCCAGTTAAAAGTGAGGAAAGAGAGGTAGAAAAGTCATTGCAAATAATATAAATGAAGTACAAGGTTTGATGAAAAACCAGTGAAGTTCACATAAGCGTGTCATTAAGAGAATGTGTTTTATTTTTGACTTCCATATATCGGATTTTTACTGCTTCTAAAAATAAGATTAGATGTAGTTCAAAGTTGCCAAAAATGAAAAACAACACGCTATTATATAGAATTCACCCGAATTTGAAGCATTTCGGGTTACTAGTTGCGATGAAAATACTACATCTTTGTCCACACTTGTTTTGCTGGGTACTTTATAAAAATTTATACGGAATTTCAACAGTTTTTAGATTAAGCAATAATCAACATATTTTTTAAATTGTATGATCTGAAATGTCAGCTTTAATCTACCATCAAAATTTATCACAATTAAATAATTGAAAGATATCATTTTTGGCCGGAATTGACCACCGTGCACTGGCTTAAAATGATTTATAACAAGTAAAAAGACTATATTGGCTTTTGCCGAATCTTATATACTCTCAGCCATAGTGTGTTTAAAAAATCTATTCTATCCATATATGGGGAATTTCATGTCAAGTGACCCAACTCAAAAAAAAAATAGCTATCTGAACTCCTTTGGACAATTTTTGCTTGGACCAATAGGTGAAAAGTTACACTCATTTGAATAAAACCCTGTATGGCCTTAAAATAATTTCTGAATCATAAAAACTAAGAATAAAATTTTCGAACATGAGTTCGCTGTTAAAACGTAGCCCACATTAGTTGAAATTTTGCAGTCTTAAGTGCACTTGATGACAATATAATATTATGTTTAAATATTCGAAATAAGGTTCAAAATTTTTAAGTTCGAAAAATTTTAAAATTGTTAAAATATTACAACTGACTGACGTTAACGGTATTATTTTTTATACCCACCATCAAAAAGATATATGGTTTTTGACATTCCGTTTGTAACACGATGAAATATTCGTATAAAACCCATAAAAGTATATATATAACCTTCACAACTGACTGAAAGCCCAAGTATACCTAATGATGAAATTTTTGATATTTCCAAAAAGAAAGAAACTATTAGACCTTTATTTTAAAGTCGAAAAACTGAACTTTCAGATGATATAACAGATTTTGTAAATAAAGTTGACTTCGCGCTGTTATAGCGCCTCAAATATGGCAAAAAACTGTTTTTTTCAAACTTGATGACATGATATCAGAAAAATTCTGAAGGAAAATTTGAATTTCAAAATTGGCAACCGAAACGAATAACGTTAACGGTATTATTTTTTATACCCACCATCAAAAAGGAAGATATATTGTTTTTGACATTCCGTTTGTAACACGATGAAATATTTATAAGACCCATAAAAGTATATATATTTTGGGCCCCTATTAGATTTCAGGACGATCTAGCCATGTCCGTCCGTCTGTCTGTTGAAAACACGATAGAGTCCAAACGGGAACACCTGGAGAGATGTTTTTAGTTGATGCAATTTGTTTTGCGTTGAAAATGGGCTTCTGAGGGCATCTTCTTATTTTTTAATTAAAAAAAAGCAATAAACATATACCCTTCAAAATTTTGTTTTGTTAATGACCGATAGTTTTTAATACATTTTAATGCAAATAGAGGCCCCGACCGATATTGTTTCAGTATTGATACCGTTATGATAAGGGTACATATCAAAAATGTATATATGTACATAAACTTTCCCAATGTTAAAAAAGTTGTCCAGATTATTTTCAACTTATTTTAGTGCACATTTCTATACTTTTTATAATTTTTTGGAATTTAAAAAAAAAAAAAAAATAAGCATGGCTATTTTTATGGCCCCATTAGTTGATTTTTCAGCAACTTTCATTAAATTAGCTTAAAATTAAGTAATTAGTTAGTTAAAAAATTATACAGATATGCAGTACAACTAATTGAGACATCTTGACTTATAGTGCATTAAAAGTTAGTTGAGTTATTATTGGCAGTATAAAGTTCTTATAACATACCATGTATTTACAAATTCTACGAATTCGGTGGAAAATTCTTGTCCCTGTTGAAGACGTGGAGGATCTCCTTGAACCACCTGGAAAAAAATAATTTCTACAAAATGAATTTAATAAAAATAAAGATGTACGCACTTGGCATAATTGTTCAAAAACTGAATCCCATCTTCTGTAGGGAAATGTGCCGGTGGCTACTTCCATAAGAGTAATGCCTAATGACCAAACATCGCTTCTAACATCGTAACCTTTCGCACGTTCAGGATCGATTCTTTCGGGCTATAAAATTAAAATAATAGTTCTATAATTCTATTAATATTTCTTAGTCAACTTACAGCCATATAAGGCCTGCAACCGGCATCTTTTGTTTTTGCAATAGAATCGACTAACTGCCCCGATATTCCAAAATCACACAACTTAATATCGCCACGTTTATGAAGCAAAATGTTACTTGGCTTTACGTCACGATGAATGATCTTCAAATGTTCCTTAAGATAATTAAGCGCATGAACGGTAGCCACCGTAATTTTTGCTAAAATTGACTCCGGTATCCTTTGCTTTTTGTGTTCAAATATATATTTGTAAAATTTATCTAATGAAGTGTCCATCAATTCCATGCAGATCCAGCAATCACCCTCTTTAAAAAGAGCGCCGTAAAATTGAACAATAAAATTGCAGTCATTTGATTTCATGACCACTTCGAGATCCATGAGAAGCTGTTTTTGTTCTTTCTCGTCTACGGTGGAACGAATACGTTTCACAGCCATGACCATGTCATTCTTTTTGAACACCATCTTGTTAACGGCCCCAAATGCCCCGCGACCGATTTCTCCTAAATCCTCTAAATCATCTGAAGTAAACTGATAAATGTCCTGTGGAGAAGGTCCTAATTGTAATTTGCCACATGCTTGCTGTCGTATACGTTCTCGTGTGCGTTCCGTTGGTATACTCATCGGAAGACCTCCAGTTGGAATACTATTCGCAGATGAAGCTGAACCAGACGAATTGGATGATTGAGACGATGGTGCAGGTCTTACTCCAAGTGGGTTCAAGTTCAGTTCATTTGGAGGAGGACGAGGCCGACCTACTCAATATTAAAAATCATTAAAAACACATTCAATCTCTTTCTAAATAAATTTCTTTACTCACCGGCAAATAAACTTTTAGGGCGTTCAGCCATACTAAGTGCTACCGTAATCAAATGAATCTGATTCCTCAAACTAAAGATTGCGTTCTTACTTTATACCTCGAATATATTTATTTAGCCGTTTTGCGGTTTGATACTGTTATTGAGCGGGCCAAAGGGGTGCGACTAACCAAAACGTACAATTGTATGTTTATAAAGAAATTAATATCGTTTTAGGCGATTAATTCCACACGATTGAACCGGAAAATAAAAGCACCCTCACGTTTGCATGAGCATAAAACAAGCATCTGACTGGCGAATATCAAGCTTTTTTTACAGAATGGATTTTAGATTGTTTATCGCAAGAAAATTTCTTTGCGTTTGGGAAATCGATAATATAAGACTATTTTAAGTATATATTTTTGTCAAGCGACACTACGATTTTTTGTCTCAAAATTAGTTTTCTTGATTTATTCCAAACTGAAACACTTCGATTTTACTACCACAAAACACCAAAAAAAGTCTTACGGGATAGCAAGCGCAAAGGAGACACTTTTTAATATTTAATACAAAATATACGAATGTGGTGATAAAAACAATTAGGAAGTGTCAAATTCAGAATGACAACAGCATTTTGCTTCGAATAAAACAGTTTTATGATTTTGTACTTAATTTAGCCACATTTTTTTTTCTAAAAATTAAGGTAATTGTTTAGATGCTATTAGTATTAATAACTTTAGTAAAAATCTTTATATTTTGCTAGCAAAGTGAAAACGACTGAAATCCTGCAAAGAATTTACTTTAGGGTTGCCAAGAACAAACATTTTTAAATTACCCAATGTTGCAATATACCCAAAGAGGCAACATATTAAATAAAAATAGTGAGAAATAATATATATACATCCATACATATTTATGTATAAATGAATTAAATGAAGCAATGTTAAATATCTATGTTTATTTTTGGTATGGATGCAAAAACCGGTATAATTGAACTGAATAAAATATATCAAACAATACTTAAAAAAATCAAGAAAAAGTTAAAAGCTGTGGCAACTTTGAAGAACAACATTATATGTTTTTTGACATTTCTTTATGCCGATTTACACAGCGAACTTTTTCATGCACACCTTTTTAATTTTGCATGTAAGACACTAAAGTGTGTTAATACAGTAGTGACATAGATTGATTATTTTTCCAAATGTGAAAGTAACAAAAAAAAAAAAAAACAGGAAAATTGTTCATTAATAAAATATGATAAATAATTTACTAATTGATATGCTTTAAATAATAAAACAGTTAAACGACAAATTTGAATAACATAATTGTATGGGTTTTATGACGTACGTATTTATAGCAGTTGTAATAATCAAGTAAAAAAAAGTTGACTTTTAAGAAAACGCGAACACGAGTTTTAATATAACAACCTTTAAAAAGCAAGTTTACATTATAACACAAGTAATATGATCTGTCAAAATTGTGTGTAGAAGGGAACAAATAGGATCGTCTAAAGTTTAGACTCTAAAGTTTAGAGTCTAAACGCAATATGTAATGAAAGCAACACACATTGATAGAGAATGGAAAATTTGACAGTCGTATGGCTCTCTCCATTTTATGAAATTATTAAAAAAACAAGCAAGTAGCATTAGATCCGGGATGTATTTTTATGGACACACCTAAAAAAAATTTTTAGAAACAATATCTACAGGATTGAAATTTTGAATTAATCTACCGGAATTGCTTATTTAATACCAACAGAATTGGTCCACAAATATCAAATACAAATAAGACAACAATTTGTTAAAAAAATATCGTTTGCGCCATCATAAGCATACGACATTTTTTAACAAATTGTTGTCTTATTGTTGACTTGTGCAGGCCTTTAATCAATACTTAGCCGGCTTACATCTGAAATTAAGCCGCCTCCCACATTTTTAGTTTCATCCGTCGCCAGCGGTTATTTTTGTCGGCGCAGGACTCTAGTTGCGATTCTATCTTTATCATAATTTTTGTTTATTCTCTTGTAAGAAATAAGGAACATTTCTGGAAAATAATAATGAAATATCGTACAAAAGTTTGAAGGGAGTAGCGTAGAAAAATTTTCCATATAGTGTTAGCAATTGCCGATAATTAGTATTGTTTATAATGAATTTATATTGTTTAACCAACTTTATCGATTATTCCCTGGCCATTCATCAGCCGCTGAAACACAGCAATCGTATCAAGGTAAGTAAATTCAGTGGTTAATCGATATGATAAATGGGTTGAAAATGTGTCACTTCATTAAAATTTTTTGTAGTATACATGTTTTGATATATCTGAGAACTACATCGTTCTTGGAGCCACATCGGGATCGTTATACCTTTTTAACAGGCAGGGAAAATTTCTACACCTCATACCCAGCAAACATGGTGCAGTAAACCACTTATCGATATCTGCTAATGAAAAATATGTTGGATTCTCTACACAGAGGTCTGTTGTTTGTGTGTACGCTGTTAACTTATCTGCACAGGCGGCCCCACAAGTTATTTTTACAAATCTATGCAGTGACCAATCTGTACAGGTAACCTGTATGCATTGGACACAAGATGAAAAACAGTTCTATTACGGTGATTCAAAGGGCCAGATTAACTTGGTTTTGCTGTCAACATTTATTGTAAGTTTCGAAATTTTTAAAATTTGAAAAATTGACCGATGGAGGTCAAGAGATAAAAACAAGAATTTAATTTTTTAGGGAACAAGCTTAATTAATATGTCCATACATCCAATACTTTTTTTGGAATCTCCAATCGTACAAATAGATGACTTTGAGTCTCTGCTCTTGGTTTCGAATTGCTCGAAATGTATTTTATGCAATACAGAATATGAGGAGTACAAACAGGTTTGTAAACTAATTTTTGTTTATTTTTATTTGCGTCTTTAAACTTTTGTTTAAATAATATTTCTTGGTATCTCAGATTGGTAATAAACCTCGTGATGGAGCTTTCGGCGCATGTTTTTCTATTTCTTCGAATGAAACGCAAAATCCCTCGCGAATCTTTTGTGCCCGACCAGGCTCTCGCGTTTGGGAAGTAGATTTTGAAGGTGACGTTATACAAACGCACCAATTTAAATTTGCATTGGCTTGCCCACCAGCTAAAATTCATAAAGATCAAGATAATGACAATGACAATATATCAGTCGACAATGATGGTAACGATGAAATGCTGGATTATCAGCCGCAGAACTTACAATTTGCAAAACTTCAAAAATTTACACATGACTTCTTGCTAACGTATACAGAATTGGGTCTGTATATATTCGATGTTCGTAATTCCACAGTAGTTCTATGGTGTAATCAATTTGAACGTATTGTTGATTGTAAAGTTTGCAATGGAGAAATTGTAGTGTTTACTCAAACGGGATCTCTATATTCAATGCAAATGCATTCACTTCAGACACAAGCTTCTACTTTGGTTAGAGAAGACAAGCTACTGGAATGTGCTTGGCTAATGCGAAAAAACGTTAAGTATTTTGCAGACAAGGCTAGAGAAGACTACGAATTGGGACTACTGAATCAAATAAAAAACTTTTTGATGGACCGACACCAATACGAATTGCTAAACGATCTCTCTGTCATATTTGATGCCATTGCTCAATGCGAGTCAAATGGAGATAATAACAGCTCTGGTGGCAGTTCGGGCACGGCAGAAAGAAGTTGCAGTTTGGGAGCAGCTGGTGTACAAAATCAAAAGACGTCCGGAGAAATATCTCCTCAAGGGGTGTATGTATTAGAAAACTCTTTTTGTGACAATTTAAAACCTCAAAAAGGAGAAAAACATTTCAAGGACGCCCTATTGACAGTTACTGGAAAATTTGGCAAAAATATAATCAAGTATAAATTTAATATATTCGCAGAAGAACAACAGAAACTGGTGAGAGATCTGATACCAGCAAATGAGAGATCTTTACCCTTTAAAGACATCAAAGCAATGTATGAAAATGACGAGGAAATAGTCTGTCGTGTGAAGAAAACTAATCCGCAGTCAACAACCAGCAATAGGGGAACAAAATCCACTGCCGGGATATCTAGTCAACACATTACAGCTGAAGAAAAAACAATTTACAATCTGTATTTAATTTGCAAAAGTTCTAAATTTAGTAATACCAATTTTGTCGAACGCTATCGTTCATTATTCGATGAATATTCCGCACCTGAGCTAATACAACTTTTGGAAAAATTGTCTCAAGTAATGATCGAACATGGTGATGACCCGGAGCAAGCCCAGCGGCACTGTTACGAAATGTATTTTCATTATTTAAATCCTGAACTTATCTGGGAAATGGATGACTCTTCTAGGGACTATATAACGCAAGGATTCGTTCTCTTGAATTCATCGGACGATATCGTACGTTGTGATAATTGTATGTTCCCTTTAAGATTCGATAACTCGTGTTCATTCCACGAATTGGGATCAGTGCTGTTGCGCTACTACTGGTCACGCAATGAACAAGTGAAATGTTTTGATGTGTTGACACGTGTCCCAGCTCTTTTCGATGTTCTAGCCAAACTTTATTTGGCCGAATACAACATGGAGAAGGTATTACCCATCGTCTTGAATTATGGACAGCCCGATCTACTTATGGACGTGGGCAAAGGATTTTCCCTCAACTCCTGGTCAAAGTGTTTTGAACAATTTGTGGATTTGCAGCAAGGTCGTTTGACATGTGTAAATTGTGAATGCGTTACAACTGTAGAGAATGTAAATCGTCATTTCTTCTATACTTGGAATTGTTTCTTGGGCATTATTTTGGAATACATGGAGGCGGAGGACATCCTATCTCTAATATTAAAATGGTCGAATTCCATTCCAAATGATGCAATCGACAGAGAATTCTATTCGCGTTGTCTTCTTAAAGGTTGACAAATGGTGCCAATTTCATCCAACAAAATACATTGGAAGCATTTACCAGCCATTGCAAAATAACATGGACAAAAATCAATTTAATTTATTACTCACATTATGTATTAACAATTCGTACATTTTAAAATATTTTATAAGTCATATTTAACTGATAAAAAAGCCAAATTAGCATTTATTTTATTCACGCGTATTATGTATGTTTGGGGTTCACTTTTATGCAATTTTTTAAAATATGTATCTAAATAGCCCAATTCATACCGTATATACATACATATGTATGTAAAAGTATGGGCGTTAAAAAGTTTTTGCAGAGGATACATTTCGAGATTGCTATCTTTTAATATAATCATGGAAACAAAAAAAGGAAAAAGGCAGAGTAATGTTTGTTTTAAATTATATTATTGGACGAACGCATAATATTTTAAAAAATAATTGCACAGTGTCAGTTTTTTTGACCAAAATATGTTGCTTCCCGGGTCATATATTTGCACATACTACATATTTACAATCAGAGATATTTATTGTAAATTTCGTATATACATATTAGGGTGATCGATTATTCGACATTTTTCAAAAACCGGTTTTCGAATAGTTCGAATAGTTGACATTTCAAAAAAACCGGTTGATATTTTTCAAATTCAGAAAAAACCGGTTAACCGGTTTTTCATAATAAATAAAAAATATATGTTAATTTGAAGAAATTAATGTTTATGTTTAAATTTGATTAATAAAACATGGCCCGAAATGATTATTAACACTTTAACAGATTATAACTTTAGATCTAGTCGTCTGATTTACATTATTTCTTTAATATAAAAAAAATTAGGAAAAAAGTGGACACTTCTGTTAAATATAAGGTACTATGTAATCCTAGCTTATTCTAAAGCCCTTTTAGGAAATTTTCATAGGCATTCCAA